TAGATAATGTTACACAGGAATGTGTCCAGGCCAGTTTTGAATGTCTCCAGGGAAGGAGACTCCACAACCTCCCTGGGCAGCCTGTTCCAGTCAGTGTTCCGTCACCCTCACTGAGAAGAAGTTTCTTCTCAAGTTTAAGTGGAACCTCTTGTGTTCCAGTTTGTACCCGTTACCCCTTGTCCTATCATTGTTTGCCACTGAGTAGAGCCTGGCTCCATCCTCGTGACACTCCCCCTTTATATATTTATATACACTAATAAGGTCACCCCTCAGTCTCCTCTTCTCCAAACTGAGACCCAGCTCCCTCAGTCTTTCCTCATAAGGGAGATGCCTTAATCATCTTCGTTGCCCTGCGCTGGACTCTCTCCAGCAGGTCCCCGTCCTTCTTGAACTGAGGGGCCCAGAACTGGACACAATATTCCAGATGGGGTCTCACCAGGGCAGAGTAGCCCTACCTGTACTTCCAGTACGGCCACGTCAGTGTTGTACCTGAAACCTTGGCTATTTAACATTGGTGAGTTTTTTGCTTCTGAGGGATTCCACAAGGTTGAAATCCCAGCAATTGTGCCAGTCGTAGCAAAATCCACCTCCATAGCAAAAATTCATTTGCATTGTGTTTTTTTTTTAATAGAAGCACACTTCTTAAATATGCTTCAAGCCATTTATTAAAATTGAAAGTCTTGAAGAGCTGCACAATCAACATGTGGTCCAGCAGCTGCATTCTGACTCCTTTGGGTTTCTGATCAGCCCAACATAAATTATAATAATGGGTTTTACAAAAGAATCACCAAGCATTTTCTGTGGATTTTTTTATGGTTGTTAATCTGCATAATTTAATATTTCTCTCTTTATATAGTCTGGCAGTGATCAGCTGTTCCAAGGTCTTAGTGTTGAATAACAGCTATCTAATCTCACAAAGGCGCTTTTAAATGTTACCTGTGTACACATGGTAAAAGAATTAAGAATTTTTTTTCTTATTGCAATTACACTTTTAGAACTTAAAGCCTATGTTTTCAATGTCTCTTCAATTGTAAAACAATCTTGATTAATTACTCACATTTCTCTGTAAAGCCTGTGGACGCTTTAACTTGGTAATGGGTTTGAAACAAGTAGAACTGTAGAATCGTAGAATCCTAGAATCCTTAGAATACTTAGAATAAGTACAGTTACAAGCTTCAAAAATTATATTTACAAAAATGATTTACAAACTCTTCCTTAAACTCTCAAACTCATTCAACAAATTGGTGTTACAGCCTAATACTTGCATAATCTTAGTGCTTTATATTGTTGCTTGACATTTCTGGAAAATCTAGAGAAAGATGAGGGCAGTAAATTTGAACTGCGCCTGTGATGCTGCAATGTCATATAATTTTTACATGTCAAAATCCTACACCATTCTGCTGTCAGTACATTTGAGGTGATTTGCTTACCAAAATGATGTTAAGGAGTGGGATAATGCTAATGTTTGGGTTATTTTTCACAGTAAAATAATATATTAGTTTTTTTGATTCTTGGCTCATCAACTCCTCAACTGGCATTCTTTTCACCTGGAAGGTACCGGTGTTGTTATGTGAGCTAATTTATAAATTGCAAAATTTTTTTTGTTGGTTAAATAAATGACAAAATTTCCTTAGCATGAACATACATAAGCAAATATAATCTGACACCAAACACTGACATTGTACTTCCATCATTTTTAGGAAGCATGTCGTTTCCCAAAGGCTGAATTTCAGGAACCTGTAAATTGAGCAGAAATCAATAGTTTACACTGGTCTCTCTGAATTCTGAATATTCAATTTCAGGAGAAAATGTGACTATTTTTTGCTTGGAGCAAAAGGGTCACCTTGATTTGCTCTGTATCAAAAAATAGTGGTTTTACTGGTCTGGTTTTTCTGGTGTTTATAAATATGTTATGCATAAAGAGTTTTTTTTTATAAATACAGAATTGGGCTTCTGGTCTTTTTTCCTGGCTCATACTCATTGCTGAATTTTCTCTAGCAACCTCTATAGGGACTGTATTCTTTGACCAGAAGTTTGCCTTCACAAGTGCTTCTTTCTTACTGAAGTCTTTACTTAACTCATTCTCTTCCACTGGAAGCTGGAGATGGGAGTAATTTTATTCAGTTACCCTTACAGTTTTGATTTTACATCCTTCACACATACTCAGTTCCCTTGCTATTTTATTTCCTCTGAAAGGTTCACTTTTTATAGGCTATCCATTCTAACTTATGTTCCTTTGAATTCAGTTCCCTAACTACTTCCTTTTGAGCTGTACTTGAAAGGGCTTGAAGGTTCAAGTAGTTTCTTTTTATTACTTTTTCCTGTGCATTCATCTCTCTCTAGAATTTCACTCATCTCAAAGTAGGTCTTGGTTATGATTCTGTAAGTAAGGGAATACAGTTAATAATTCCTTGTCTTATTTATGTAAAAAATTGTTAAAACATTGTAAAGTATTAAATACCTAAACTATATTTCTTTCCTTAAAAAAAATGCTAATCACTTTGAATCCTGATTAATATTGCTCTATTTATTAGTCATAAAAAGGTATGATTGTAGCACCATTTCCTAAGCATCATTGAACTATGTTATCTAACTTCCCATCAAAGCACTACAAATTTAAATTAAAAATTAAAGAAAATCTTCCTGTAGCTTTTCTTTTTTTTCTATATTTTTAACTAATGTTGATCCCCCGTCTTCTATTTTCTGGATGGCTCTTATTTTTCATCTTTCTTACTGAAAACAAGATAATTATAAGTGCCTGCTTTTCTTCCAGTATAAAATAAAAGAATTTGCAGATATTCCTGAACTTACTGATAAAATATATTTTAGTATAAAGCATTTACTGTGAGAACTGTTATACTTTTAAGGTCGTACAAGAAGAAGAAGGAAAAGAAAAAAGTGGGATTATATCTTCAAATAGCCAAAGGAGCACATCTGGTTTGTTTTGAGGTTTAATTGTATTTTATTTAATTATACTGGTTTATCCTTAATTCTGCCTGCCTGGATTTTCAGTCTTTTTGGAGAAATTTTGTCTTCATTTTGAAATTTCTATTTTGTTAGGTAAGAAATGCCTTCTCATCTTTTAAAAAACTGCTGTTGAAAGTGAGGAAATACCAATTCTGGCTTAGAAAAGCTGTCATTTATCTTTGTTATCAGTCTTTGCCTCATATTATCTTCGACACTTCTGATGCATTTAGTGTCTGACCTGTACGACAATGATGTTTTATACATCTTTGCATTAATTGTGTTCTTTCAAACGTTACAGCTGTGGTCTTCTCATAAACAAAGGTTGGCAATTTTGCATCCTGCTCAGCTATTTATATCTTAATATCCCATTGCCACTTCAAAAATAGAAAAACCCTTGGTCTTGCAAATATTTAATTTTGCTGATGAAAAAGGGATCTGGAAGAGCACTCTGATTTCTGAGATCCAGCTCCTGTAGAATTTCTTACGTGCCAATATAGTTGGGGGTGAGAATTGCTTTGAATGAGAGAAAGCCTGGCTATACAGACATGCTATTCCTGTCACTTAAAGTAGCAGAATTGCAAGGCAAAATCAGGTTTAAAAACAGATTCTACACTGCACCTCTGTGGATGCTTTTAGGTGAAGAGATATGCTTTTTTTTTACCCCTCCTGGGGTTCTCTATAACACTCGTGAAGTTTTGTTATAGAAAGTGGATTTAGTTGTTTTTGTGTGAAACCTTTATAGCAGCAGTTGTAATGAAATTGTTTTCAGTATGCTTTGCCAAGATATTTGTAAAGTTTATAGATTTCTGGAAATAAAAACCTAGGACCTAGGATACTCAATACCAGTATTTTACAATAAAGGATTTTTTTTTTTTTTTTTTTTTTTTTTACAAAAATTGAGTTTAGAAGATGAACAGTGATGACTATCTCACAGTACTTTAACAATTGATTAGAATTTTTTGGCTTCTTGCTCAGGACATTTTCTCTTTAATGCTATAAAAAGGTATTAGCAATTAAATACTCTATAGCCTCATTCTGGTTTCAGATCCTGGTAGGATAAGTTTACTAAATGTTGTTGGCATATCTATATATCTTGTCTCTATTAAAAATATTTTTAAACATACTTTAGAATATTTAAACATTATATAATTGAAAATATTATGTTTATAATATTGTAACAAGGTGGTGCCTCTGTTCTGTTGAGCACTTATATAGCTAGTGTGAGATATTGTGGGTTTATTTTTAAGCTGACTCAGAATTCGACGCTCAGAACACAAGAAAACCTCTATTGACATGCAGCAATCAGACCCAGAGTATTTAGTAATCACTTTTAATTATCCCAGACAGTTTCCTTTATCTTACTTCTAGTGATGGAAGGTAAAAGCATTCCTTTTTCTACAGAAGTTTTTAATCAGTTCTTTTACCTTTTCTGACAGTTCTCTGTAGAAAAGACTTTTGCACAATAGTTCTAGCTATTTTTATTAGTACAGTGCCCAGTACACCATCTTCAGAGAAGGTAAGTAAAATTTTACGGGCACATGTATATTCTTCAGTGGTTTTCTTAAAAAAAACCCACCAAACAAAGAAAAAAGCCCAACTAAAGTTTATATCATATTTTTATTATTACAAACCCTTTGAAAGATTGGCATCTAAATTTAAGCAAATAAAATGAGCGTGTGCAAAAAATAACTGACACTTCTAGAATGTGTTATATGATATTCTTTTCCTCATCCGTAAAACAATCCATCTCCCAAGTGTTGAAATGAGAATTTCGGCAAGTCAATGCTGAAAAGTTTGGATCTATAAATGCTTTCAGATTTGTATATGAAATACATCTACTAATAAGTAGAAAAAGTTTCACATTATATCCATCCAGATTTTTATATAAAAATGCGAACATTAATATGAAGAAACATTTGTTATCATTAATAAAGGATTAAATCAGACATCTTGTCCTAAAAATGTCAATTTGTGGTCATACATTTCAATGTGTTATTTTCCAAAGTAATTGTACTGTATTTTATGTATTTTAGGCACGGAAGGGGCAGTGTTTGGGCACTCTGTGGAGACACCCCATATCAGAGCAGAACCTTCCCAAGACCTCAAGTAGGTGTTGTTAAAAAGTTGTTTTTAAGTCCAGTATTCTCAAAAATAATTGTCTTCTTTAAAAGCAAATATCTGTATAGTAATATATACTACATACTTAATGACATACATATCCAACATACTGGTAGACTCGAATTTGTTCTATTGAAAAACCCCACTAACTTCTATCACAGAAAATGTAAAATACATTACTTTTTCTAAATTACTTGTCTTCTGCTGCAGAATCCGTGAGGAATGTGTTTTCCTCAGAGATAGGAACAGTCAAGGGGTTTTAAGTTCAAGTGAGTACAGTACTTTTTAATAGATTCAGACCCAGATTTTGATTTTTTTTATACCTCTTGCAGAACATGTAAGTCAAGTTGAAGTAAACAGTCCCAAATTTTTTCTTCAAGTGGTATTTCTGGGTTCTTAAAATACTACGAGCACACACACACATGCTTCCAAAATTCATTTCCAAGTGAGGCTAGACTTGTAAATGAGAAAAGTCCAAAGTTTTCTGGATTAGTCACAAAAGTGGAGAAATAAGTACATAGTAAAACAGCTAGTCTAAAAATTACTAAAATATCTATGGAATGAGAAACAGAAAATTTAGAAAGGTTTATAGTGAAAGCTTTTTCTTGAAGTGCATGTATGTGCTCTGGTAAATACTAGTCTGTCATTTATACACATAATTAATGAGAATATATGACAATCGCAGAAAAGCAAAGGTCCCTCTCAGCAGAACAGGTGTGAAACCATATAAACATAGGTTGAATTCTTCTATGATTCCTATGATATACCTATCCTTTTACCTTCCCGTCAGTGGTTACAGTGAATTGCCACTGAAAAGCATTGTTGAATGCCCTTCCCTATATTTGTAAAGGCATTTAGGATGATCCTTGTGGGACCATTATACGTGAGGTGTAAGAATTAAATGACTGTGATTAATTGTTTACAGTAATCATTTTAAGGTAATGTAATGGTTTGGGGTCTTCCAGAGGACCCTACCTTTGCCGAGACTCCTGTCAGTCTTTGTTGAGAGTAGTTGTAAAGATGTTTATTAGTGATGACCCCTGAGGTGGTATGGTATCTAATCAAAGGAGGTACAGCAGAAATCAAAGTTTCAAAGTGGAAACAAAAAACTTTTCTCAGGGGTGCAAAAAATTGAATAAGAGGGTGGAAATTGTTCTACTCAAAAGAATGTAGAGAAGGAGCTCTGTTTACTTTCTAATACTTAATAATTAAAGAGTGTAATTGTACAGTAAGCTAGACAACCCTGTGTCTTTAGGATTCATTTCATTGGGATTAAAATCACCTCATGGCTTATGAAACTTACGTATCAGGCACTCACCTCTCTTGTCTTTTGTCTTTATTCATTGCCATGAAGCCCGTTGTTGCTTAATGTTTTCCAACTCCATCATCCTTTCAGCTCATTTTTCCAAGGTGGACTTAAATTAGTGAGAATTTCCATTCAACTTTCTGCCCTCTCATTAATAACAAACTGAACCCAGACTTTTTTTTTTTTTTTTTTTTAAATGATGAAGCAGAAACCATTGTTGTTTGGTCAGCCTTAACTTACATGTAAGCCATTTTTTTCTTAATATGGTCAGCCTATATTGTGTTCTACAATATTTTGTACACATGTGCTCCTATATATTACATAGGATTCAGTGATACTTCTTTTTTAAAACTCTGAAGTTATTTTAATCTTTTTTAAAATATGAAAATTACCATTTGGACTTAGATTTCTTGGGTTTTGGCATGAGCCTTTCTAGAAGGTAACATGAATACCCTTTTTAGCCTTGTAGCTTGAAAGAACTATAAATAATTGTGGGTTTGTGCGATGTTTTCTGACACCAAAATAAAATTAGTCACTTAGATTGTATATATCCCTTTAAAGATTCCCGTTACCATATGTCTTTTTATCTTATTTCAAATTATATTTAAAAAAAGAAGAAACCAAACTGTTGTGGTTTTTTTGAGTTCAAGCCCTACATTAATTTTCTCCAGAAATATTTTCTTTTTCTAATTTAATTAAATGTTGTCAGAAATGACAGTGATCTGTCATTTAGGGGATGATTTGCCAAGTACATCCAAATAAATAGGTCACCAATGACATCTCCCTGTGGCCTCAGAAGCTACCTCTGTCACAGAAACAAAACACTAACAAAGCCTATTTTCTGTCCTCAGGCCCAACTGATAAAACTACATTGATATTGTAAAATCATTGTACCCTCTAAAACGGAATAGCTGTATCCTAAATGCTGAGTGGGAATGGTCCTTGACTCATGCTTCCCTGCAAATACTGCCTGAAAATTGTTTGGCAGAGTTGTAACTGAGTCTCAAATATGCCAAGAACTGTTTAGTTGCATATGTGAATGAGTGGCAGGCTGTGGCCTGGGACCTAGCACCTTTTAATGTTTTAATAAAATCTTAGGCAAAGTGTCCAATAGACCAATGCTGATAATCCTAAACCAATTTATTTTTCCAAATGCTTCATCCCCATGCTTTGTGACTTCTGTAATTATCAGTAACATGGGACAGTAGAGAGTTTGTTGAGTTGACATTGGAGTTCTCACAGGTAACTGCAGTTTGACAGTGAGTTGCAGTGCCTAAGTGCAAATGCATTAGGCTATGATAATACTTGTATACTTGAAAGACACAAGAATTTATGTTAGCTCGTTAATTAAAATAAAACTGATCCCATATTTTTCATGTTGGGATGTGTATTTGTGGTGAAATAGTAAACCTGAGACATAAAGATATGAGTATATTTAAATAAAAACTTTTTTCTTTTTTTTTCCTTCAAAAAATGATGCTGGAAATTTACTCAAAACCTTAGATGTGTAAAACAGTTCACTACTGAATTTAAAAAATGGAATTCTCACCAGCTTGATTACTGGGAATGAAACTGACCTGTAAAATATGGATTAAGGTTTTGATACTCACAAAGCTCATAGTGTTGGCCCCCAAAGTCCAGGGATTTTAGGTCAATATATTCTGGACAGGGAGCCAAAAAGAGAAAGTCAGATTCATAGTAGCTTCACTTATTTAAACTTTGTCTCATCCACTCTTTATTCTGTATCCATATTTTGGGGTCTTCAGACAGAGCAGCATCTCTAATATTTGCTATTAAAAATTGTTTTGTAAAAATAAAATTCAGTTTTTATTTAAAATTATTCCTTCCTGTGTGCCCAACCACTGTGGTCCCATCTTTGTTATATTTTCAGATAATAGGGAGATTTTGCTTTCAGAAAATGTTTTTCTACAATCCTTTGTGAAAGCTGGTAAGACATGTTGTGTCAAATCCCAAAAACTAGTTAAATCTGATTTTCATTAGCTGGGATAAGCAGCATAAAAGAGTACATGCCTTAGAATCAGTAAAATGAATTATACCTTAGTAACTTAATCTTCATATTTCTCTCTCTACTTTTTCTCACAGGAACATAGTAAGGAAAACAAAACTGCCAATATATTCCCCAAATATTGGTTTTAGGGTAATAGTGCATTAAAACATGGTGCATTAATAGGTAATATCCATGCATAAAAGAGGCAGACGGTAGTTAAATGCAGATAGATTTGCCCTCAATAATCTTCTTAATGAGGGGGTAAATTAATTTGGTTTTGTTCTCTGGGTTTAACTGCAAAATCAAATTTAATGTGTTTTTTTCATCTTCTGTGTCAAGCTTCGCATACCATTGACTATCATGCAAGCTAATGGTGGGCATAGTGAGAGGAAAATTGATCAATGTGATGGTTTGTAAGAGCCATTTTTTGTGACGTTTAAGGGATGGCTTACTAAAAGGGGAAAATATCTATTCTATAAAAACCTGGAGCCAAAAAAAGGCATCAGAAAGGAATTTTAACATTAACTTTTTAGTTGTCTGAGCAGGCTGAGAGTAACAAAACCCCTGGGACTGTTTATCTCTTTTTACTCAGAAATCAAATAACAAGTCACAGCTCATCAAAAGAGAGAAAATGCAGTAGAGTAAAAATCCCAGCTTAATTCCTGTGCTGTTTTAATGATATCATCTTCTAGTTACTTTCTCAGTATTCTTATTTTTCTTAATAATGGGGACATGTTTACTGTTTATGTTTTCAGAATTTGGTGTTTAAATAGTTATTTCAGTGCTTGGGTACATGCTTTGACAGAAACTTGTTTGCCCAGTCTTTTCTTTAGCTGTTGAAAATATTTTATTTTTGTTTAACATACATGTTCATGCAAAAATAAAGATGGGTGTTATGCTTCTTTTTTTAACACATATATATGCTTTTATATATAAAAGACATTGAAAAGAATAGAGAACAAAGCCGGTACTAAAAGTTCATAATATGCAGATAGGACACAGTAGGAACAAAAGGTAACTAAGTATGGCTTTTATACTGAAAAAATAATTTGCTTTAGTGTTCAGTGACAATTATTACATCTGACATTGGAGAAGGGAAAAGGCTCTAGTAGGAACTGAGATATGAAGGGAAAAAAGTACTGCTATCACAATAGATGGCAAAATTAATTGAGTTTCATGTAGTTAATAGTCTCCATCCCTGATCTGTGACTGAGCTAAAGGTTAAAATCAGGTCAAATTGCCAAAACTTATAATAAACCTTTCAGACTGGGAAGCAAACACTGTAAGACTCATGATTTGGCAATGGTAGAACTTCTAGTGAAATTGATAGAAAAGATGGGTTAAAAGAGTCATCTGTTGTGTTAGGTCCTTTAGTCTAAACTCATTAGTATGCAATGCTTTATGTTGAAAGATTCATTAGAGAAAAGAATTACTAAGGGATTAAAGATAACTAAAAATTGGGGTGAAGTAGAAGGTGGGTATATTGTGAAATCCAAGGAAATATTTTCCCCTTGAAAAGATACCAAATCTTCTAGGAAACAGAAAATAGGTAGATGTCCGTTCTGGAGCTTAAGTATTTTATATAGTGGGGTATCTAATAAGAAATAAAAGGCAAGACAAAGAGTGTATTTAGAGACATTTTAAGTGGTATATAATAAGCACATATTGTTCATA